AAAAAAAAAAAATGATCATTTAATCCAGTGTTACCATTAAATCGCCCCCGGACAGTAAGTCAGTTTAAAATTAGCCATCGAAGTTTCCAGACATGCCATGGGCTCCCTAGCTCCAAATATTGAGTAAAAAACAGATTGAACAATAAATAATGAAGTCAATGTAGTCCCGTGTGGCCATTAAAACAGACATTGGTGGCATGGAGAAGTGAAAAGAGGTGGAAAACCCGTAGCTAGAACCCAGTGGCTTTTTTTCCGATCCTATGAGACGGGTTAATTTTTGTTCATCCCCGTAGCATGAGACCGGAAGGGAAGCGTCTGGGACCAATCATCTTTCCCGTGTTCAGTTTCTTGTGGATAGAGAATACCATATTAAACATAAATAAAAAAAAAAAAATGATCATTTAATCCAGTGTTACCATTAAATCGCCCCCGGACAGTAAGTCAGTTTAAAATTAGCCATCGAAGTTTCCGAGACATGCCATGGGCTCCCCTAGCTCCAATTATTGAGTAAAAAACAGATTGAACAATAAATAATAAAGTCAATGTAGTCCAGTGTGGCCATTAAAAAAGACATTGGTGGCATGGAGAAAAAAAAAGGGGGGAAACCAGTTAGAACCCAGTGGCTTTTTTTCCGATGAGACGGGTTAATTTTTGTTCATCCCCTTGACCGGAAGGGAAGCGTCTGGACCAATCATCTTTCCCGTGTTCAGTTTCTTGTGGATAGAGAATACCATATTAAACATAAATAAAAAAAAAAAAATGATCATTTAATCCAGTGTTACCATTAAATCGCCCCCGGACAGTAAGTCAGTTTAAAATTAGCCATCGAAGTTTCCAGACATGCCATGGGCTCCCTAGCTCCAAATATTGAGTAAAAAACAGATTGAACAATAAATAATGAAGTCAATGTTGTCCAGTGTTGCCATTAAAACAGAAATCGGTGGCATGGAGAAGTGAAAAAGAGGTGGAAAACCCGTAGCTAGAACCCAGTGGCTTTTTTTCTGATCCTATGATACGGGTTAATTTTTGTTCATCCCCGTAGCATGAGACCGGAAGGGAAGCGTCTGGGACCAATCATCTTTCCCGTGTTCAGTTTCTTGTGGATAGAGAATACCATATTAAACATAAATAAAAAAAAAAAAATGATCATTTAATCCAGTGTTACCATTAAATCGCCCCCGGACAGTAAGTCAGTTTAAAATTAGCCTCCGAGGTTTCCAGACATGCCATGGGCTCCCTAGCTCCAAATATTGAGTAAAAAACAGATTGAACAATAAATAATGAAGTCAATGTTGTCCCGTGTGGCCATTAAACAAGACATCGGTGGCATGGAGAAGTGAAAAGAGGTGGAAAACCCGTAGCTAGAACCCAGTGGCTTTTTTTCTGATCCTATGATACGGGTTAATTTTTGTTCATCCCCGTAGCATGAGACCGGAAGGGAAGCGTCTGGGACCAATCATCTTTCCCGTGTTCAGTTTCTTGTGGATAGAGAATACCATATTAAACATAAATAAAAAAAAAAAATGATCATTTAATCCAGTGTTACCATTAAATCGCCCCCGGACAGTAAGTCAGTTTAAATTGCATAGGGTTTCCAGACATGCCATGGGCTCCCTAGCTCCAAATATTGAGTAAAAACAGATTGAACAATAAATAATGAAGTCAATGTAGTCCCGTGTGGCCATTAAAAGACACGACATTGGTGGCATGGAGAATGAAAAGAGGTGGAAAACCCGTAGCTAGAACCCAGTGCTTTTTTTCCGATCCTATGAGACGGGTTAATTTTTGTTCATCCCCAGCATGAGACCGGAAGGGAAGCGGGGGACCAACCTCTTCTTCCGTTTTTTGTTCATTCATTGTGGAAGGAATACCATATTAAACATAAATAAAAAAAAAAATGATCATTTAATCCAGTGTTACCATTAAATCGCCCCGGACAGTAAGTCAGTTTAAAATTAGCCATCGAAGTTTCCAGACATGCCATGGGCTCCCTAGCTCCAAATATTGAGTAAAAAACAGATTGAACAATAAATAATAAAGTCAATGTTGTCCAGTGTTGCCATTAAAACAGACATTGGTGGCATGGAGAGAGGAGGTGGAAAACCCGATAGAAGAACCCAGTGGCTTTTCTCGTCCACCATGGCTTTTTTTCCGATCTATGAGACGGGTTAATTTTTGTTCATCCCCGTGCATGAGACCGGAAGGGGAGCGTGGATCATCTTTCCCGTGTTCAGTTTCTTGTGGATATGGAATACCATATTAAACATAAATAAAAAAAAAGTGATCATTTAATCCAGTGTTACCATTGAAATCGCCCGCAGGACAGGTAAGTCAGTTTAAAATTAGCCATCCGAAGTTTCCAGACATGCCTTGGGCATCCCTAGCTACCGGTAAATATTGAGTAAAAAACAGATTGAACAATAAATAATGAAGTCAATGTAGTCCCGTGTGGCCATTAAACAAGACATCGGTGGCATGCAGAAGTGAAAATAAGTGCAAAACCCGTAGCTAGAACCCAGTTGCTTCTCTACGGGTCCTATGATACGGGTTAATTTTTGTCTATCCCCGAAGCATAGAACCGGCAGAGACGCAACTGGGACCAATCATCTTTCCTGTGTTCAGGTTCTTGTGAGTGAGAATACCATATTAAACATAAATAAAAAAAAAAAAGGATCATTTAATCCAGTGTTACCATTAAGATGCGCCCCGGACAGTAAGTCAGTTTAAAGTTAGCTATTTACGTTTCCAGACATGCCAGGGCTCCCTAGCTCCAAATTTTTTGAAATTTACAGATTGAAAAAAAAATAATAAAGTCAATGTTGTCCAGTGTGCCATTAAACAAGACATCTGTGGCATGGAGAAGTGAAATCTAAGATGGAAAACCTGTAGCATGAACCACAGTGGCTTTTTTTTTCGACATCTCTATGAGACGGGTAATTTTGTTCATCCCCGTAGCATGAGAACGGCGGGGAAGTGTCTGAGGAGATGGAAAATAGTTGTGTTGTTCATTAGCTGGAGGGGGAGGGGATAGCAACTGAAAATAAATTTCGTCATTCTGGCTAATTAATTATGATCCCATTAAATCGCCTCAGACAGTAGCAGTCAGTTTAAAATTAGCCATCGAAGTTTCCAGACATGCCATGGGCTCCCTAGCTCCAAATATTGAGTAAAAAACAGATTGAACAATAAATAATAAAGTCAATGTTGTCCAGTGTTGCCATTAAACAAGATTTGGTTGGCATAGCTCTGAGAAGTGAAAAGAGGTGGAAAACCCAGAGCTAGACGGACAGCCAGATGGCTTTTTTTCGTTCCTATGAGACGGGTTAATTTTTGTTCATCCCTTTAGCATGGGGTCGGAAACGTTTCCGTCTCTGCATTCATCCCTGTTCAGTTTCAAATGTATTATACCCCTTAACTCTTTTTTGAGTACGGGTAAAAAAAGAGTGATCATTTAATCCAGTGTTACCATTAAGGAAGAAAAAATCGCCTGCATTTATGAATGGGAGAATTTGTAGAAAACCAATAGATAGAACCAATAGATCCAGTTGCTTTTTCGCTATTTCCAAGCAACCGGTTAATGTTGCTCTATCGCCGGAGCAAGGAACTAGCGGAGAAGTAGCTGCGGCCAATGATCTTTACCGACATTCCCCCGGCAGACAGACAGATGATATTTAGTATGTATGAATGGAAAAAACTCTATATTTAATCCTGGCTAGATATGGAAACCAACTGTTAAAGCCTGCAACTAGCGATAGAAACATAAAATGTTATTTGTCGCTCTCTCGTTTTCCGTTGAAGCCGAGAGACAAACATCAGAAATTAGAAGCCGTCGGCGAAACATTTTTTTCTACAGCTTCCACCAAATAAAAGCAGATGGTAAAGAGTATGGAAAGAGATAGACGTGGGCTAATATAAAGAGATAGCCAGCGAGTGTGTGTATGTGCTCCTTCGGGCGACGAGCACGTTGCTGGCGCATCCTTTGTTTGTAATTAATTTCAATATAGCGAGGCATTACACGAGCAACTCGGTAAATTTCAAAGTATGCTCCGAAAGACAATAAACTCTGGCCCAAGAGTGTTGGAAAATAAGAGGGGTACACATAAACAGACACACACTCACACACACATACACACACACACACACACACACGGCGGCTACTCCTGTCAAGAGACCATCCGATCATCGGCAAGACTGGCGTCGATAGCAACATGGCAGGCAAGGTGGATCACAGCCACTAATGGACGATGGAGCCACAGGATTGTTCCAGACATCGAGCCATGGATAGGGAGAGCCCCGGAGGGGTAGTCCAGTTCGTTGACTGGTACGGGCCGGTCACGTCTTTTAAATATTCTCATCCGCCATGGCGTATCCATGAAAAAAAAAAAACACACCCACACACCTCATGTACTAAGTACCGTTGAAATACATTTTGGAAAATTGCAAACGAGACGACGCGTAGATGAAAGAAAATGCTAAAATGTAGGCTCGAGTACAGGGTATCTGGATATACTCCGAAGTGTGACTTGGCACCCGAAAACCATTGCTCCCTCCTCTTGTCGGAGGAGGCGGTATTACTTTGCACATAAAAGTAGTAAAAATATGTTTACTGTAAAACAGCAGCCAATGGGTTCGGTTCGCTTTCCCGTAGTGAGGGGCAGCCATGAATGGTGTATTATTGAATACTGAGATAACTGCAGAATTTCTCATTCTTGTGGAATTAAATAATAATCATAAATGAATTAAATAATTAATTCACATAAATGTTGCTCCAATTCGTTAAATATTGTCATTGTTTATAGTAAAAAAGCTGAAAATTAAATAATTACCATATTAGGGCCCATTTATTTAAATAAACCTTTCAATTTAGACGCATTTCTTTCCACATTCCATGCTATGCTACGCAGTAGGTTGTGCTCTCCTAATCTTAAAAGTTTTTTGAAGTTCTATAAAAATCTAATACATCAACACACTAAATACGTAGCGGAAATACAAAAGCCACAATGTTAGTAAATCGTACGAAAAAGATATTTAGGGCTTGTGATCCACCCAGCGATTCGGTGTCTGGGCTCGAATTCAGTCCCAAGACGGTGCCTTGGATTGGCCTGTGTGCCGCCAGCTGGGATCACACTGTCCGCATTTGGAAGGTGGAGCCGAGCAGCGAAATCACAACACCCAAGGGTCTGCAGAAGCTGACAGCTTCGCCACTGGATGTCAGCTGGAACGGAGAGGGAAACAGAATCTACGCGTGCGACTCCCTCGGAGGGGTGTTCCAGTGGGACCTGCAGGCCAATCACGTCTCTAAGGTGGGCAGCCATGCGTCGGGTGTGCGGGCCTGCCACTGGCTGAGCACTCCCAATGCGTCCCTCCTGATGACCGGATCCTGGGACAAGACCGCCAAGTTCTGGGATCTGCGCACCCCCTCGCCCGTGGTGAGCATCGATCTGCCCGAACGCTGCTATGCTGCCGATGTCAGCTACCCCATGGCCGTGGTGGCCTGTGCCCCACAGACAATTGTGACTTACTGCCTCACCGAGGGCCCCGTTTTAGCCAATACGACCACTCTGCCCGGCAGCCCGCAGCAGGTGCGTTCAGTGGCCATTTTCCACAACAGCTTTGGGGTTCCCGCCGGTTGGGCCGCCGTGACCACCCGTGGAATGATGTACGTCATGAAAGTCCAGAATCAATTTGTCGCTGATTATGCCCTGCGATGCCACGTCTCTGAAGGTGGCCCCATTATGGATGTCTATGCGGTGAACGATGTGCGGGTCCATCCCACGCACCAGACCCTGGCAACGGGTGGATCGGATGGCATCTACCACTTCTGGGACCGGGAGAAGCAACAGAAGCTATATACAAGCACCACAATGGATCAGCCGATCACCAAGTGCGCCATCAGCGCCGAGGGGCATATGTTCGCCTATGCTTTGGGCTATGACTGGGCCAAGGGGCACGAAAACGTGGATCCACTGAAAGAGCCACAGATCTGTTTGCGTACTTGCTGGAACAAAATGAAGCCCCAATTGTTAATTTAAGATTTTGATTGAAACACCGCACAGGACATACCTTAAAAAACATAATGAATACTTCAATTCTCGTTCTCTTCTATCTACATGCAGAGCTCTGTTGCTAATTTTCCTCAAAGTTTAAACTTTAGGCGAGCTGCACGACTGATTGAAATATGGCACTCAATTTGGCATGCAGCTTTGGGTTCTGCTGCTGTTCCTCCTCTTGCAAGCAACAGCCACAACAATTAGCCAACAGTCGACTAATGCTCATAATGAGCTAGCATGCGATTAATTTTCCACATGAACGGTTGATTTTCACACAGAAGCAGGCTCCTGGCTTCAGGCTTCTGGCTCTAGTCCCCATATTCCATTGTCATAGACGGGAGTCACGGCACTTCACAGAAGTCTAATCTTCTCGGAGTATTAGGAGGTGGCAATCGTTGCATAGTTGCGTACTTAATGCTGCTTCTGCAGCATGCCACTGCCTGGCCCGCCACCGCCCCCGTCACGCAACCATGCTGCATTGCACACATTGCCGGCAACCCACTCTATTCCTTTGGTATAGCTTTGCCTCTGCATATCAGAGACTCACGTCAGATGTCACTAATCTAAATTTATGCAAATTGCCAACTGTCTGACTGTTTGGCTCACATGCGATTGCTGCCACACAGCCACACAGCCACTGGTGCCTGCAGCAAGAGACACAGAGAGCGAGACTCTTTGCAACAGTTGTAAAAATGCAGCTAAATTCAAATTTGACATGCAGCGAATTCACAGCAGCAGTCGTCGGAGGTGCATTTGCAGCATTTTCCGCGGAGTCTCTAGTCTCTTTTTCTCTCCTCTCTCTACATTCATTTGGGATGCAGAGCAGTCGCTGCGTTGCAGCGAAGGCTCTTATTAAATTAAAAACGAAGGCGTTTAAGTGCCGCCCCGGAGCTTCCATGCCAAGGCTTCAGACTCAATCTGATATGCAAAAACATTTTTGAAATAACTCAGCCGTAAACAGTGGAGCGTGGCTGGCAGTGTGGCAGGGATTGTGGAGTGTGGAGTGTGGAGCAACAGCATCGGGAACTCAACTCAGAACTTCTCTCAAGCTTAGCCAAATTAATTGAAAAAGTTACACGCATCGGTGGCTTCTTCTGGCAGCAAAGGCAGCACGCCAAAAAGGAGGTTGCTTTCGTTTAGGCATCCCAAGGATTCGCCGTTGATTAGTCGCTCGATTGAAAGGGAAAACGGATTGCGTTTGCGATTACCATTCCGATTCCGATCACTATATTTTGTTTCTTTTGATTAGAACTTAAATAAAACCAAAAAAAGAAAAAGTATTTTACCTAACAAATTTAGTTCCCATTAAACATAAAAATTAATTTCGAAACGAAATATTTCTTAATTGAAACTTTTGTGATATGAAACCGCTGGTTAAACAGGTGATTTCCACTTCGATTTCGGTTTGCGAGAATGCCCCGAATGACTAGTGTCTGCCACTGCTGCTGGCAGGCATCCGCGAGAGTTGGAAGCTCATGGATTGCCGACTGGCTTTGGTGCACATTGCCTTTCGGTTTCATTATCGCGAAAATGGCACGCGATGCCATGCCGTACCCAGAGTCGGGCGTTTTTTTTTTTTTTTTTCTTTTTCGTTGGCCAGGCCGAGAGCTGGAGCCATAGACAGTGCCAAAGCCAGCAGCAGCTCCAACATTTACAAGTCGGCGCGTTTGTAATCGCTACAGTTGCCAACCCCCACCTCTCTCTTTTACTCTCTTCCACTTACGTGCCCCCACCATATGCCAAGCGACAAAGTGTGAAATTTCAGTGAGCACAAACACAGAGAGAGAGAGAGAGATTAAAATGGGAGGGTAAATCCACACACGTGTGGAGTAGCAGCTGGAGCAGCTCCGTGTTTGCATAAGCTGCCCAAATACGAGAACCTGGTCAAAAGCAATGAACCAAAAGGGCAATGGAACTAATTAAGGCAGAGCGAAAGAGTGGCGAAAAGATTGGACGCAACAGAATAAAACTTTTGCTGTATTAAAGAGGAGGCCATGCCTTCAAGGCATGACCAAGGCAAGATCTCTTCTTTGGAGGCAATAAAATAGCAATAGATGTGTGTATCTCTCGTTCTGCAGCTCCTACAATCTTTGGGGTAACATTTGTCAGCAGCTGTGTGCGCCCCCCTCTATTCAATTTTGCACTTGTCTACAGATAGTGGTTTGCCCGCGCACCCTCTCCCACGCTCCGCAAAAGATGTAACAATTTCAACCTATAATTTATTCAGCTAAATCCTTTTGCCGCCATGAGCCACAAGAAATGAAAAGAAAACTTTGTAGGGAGAAAAGAGCGAGGCGAGGAAGCGCTGAAAATAAATTAAATGGAAATCATTTGTCTTGCTCAACAAAATATAACGCAAATGGGAGCCAAACGATGGTAGCGGGGAGGTGGGAGTGGCTGCCACAACAGAACAGAGCCAACCCAACAAGTGGCAGGGAACTGTGTGGCAAAAATTTGCATAAAGAAATAATATTCATTGTCTGAGTGGAGTGGAGTGGTGTGGAGTGGGGTGGGGAAAAAAGGGATTTGAACATGTCAAAATTGTCCTTGACGGACGCTAAAGTGGATAAAAATGATTCCGTTTTATTTCCAAAGCGGAATTATCTGAAGTTTTTTTTTTCCTTTTGGCGTTAAAGAAGCTTTAAAGACGCCTCCAAGTATGCAACAATTCACTTAACCATTTATCTGTGCATACAAAATCCATGCCACTCCACACTCCACTCTGTGCCATGACCACGCCCATCCATGGCATGCTCCTTCCCCTTCCCAAGATACATAAACAACAAGCAGCGGCAAGTGGCAAGTGGCAGAAACGGTCGAAACTATCTGAGAATCTCAGTGTGGCAGTGTGGTAGTGAGTGCGGGGGGGCGATTAACAAGATTAAAAGCGCCATTAAATGCTTTGATTCGGCTACAAGCTAAAGACCACGCCAGACCGCAGATACGCAAATGTGGGGACGTGTGTGTGTGTGTGTGTGTGTGTGTGGGTTTGTATCCCAAAGATACACAGCTACTCTCAAAAGAGAAGGGGGCAGGACAGGGACCGGGGCACACCCTATAATTTATCCCCGAATCCGCCTCCAGTTGTTTCGTGGCCGAAAGTTGTTCTGTAAAGGAACACATGTTTGTGGCCAAATGTCGAACGGGTAGAATGCTGTGTGCATCCGCTGGATACAGCATATCCCAGGGATACACCCTGTTTTGTTGCTCGGAATGCCATATGCCATCTGCTCTGCTCTGTTCTGTTTTGTTGGTTAAGACGTAAATTACGATGGAAATGTTGGCTGTTAAGTAGTTTAGCGCCAGCGGCCACTACCAGATACAAATGTATCTCAAAGTTCCTCCCAATACGTGCGTGTGTGTGTGTGCGTGGCATCCTGCATGTTCCATGCCTTGATTGATTTAGGTCTTGGGCGTAAGCCCCCAGAGGCTACAGAACAGCACAAGAGCTCAACACTCGATCCCCCCAATTGGCCAAAAGTACAAATCACTTTTATTTTAGCCAAAAACGAAATTGTATATGCCCAAGAAATCAGGTAAAGGCTTACAGTTGGAGCAAGATAACAGGCAACAGGAAGATGGGGCATGGAAAAGGTCTAAAGTCCACAACAAAAAATTGGCCTGGATATAAAATAATTGTATGTCAACAGAAAATTGCATTGGATGCCCAGGGTCGGGTCTTTTAACCTTTTAATCCTCAAATTAAATTTCCACAAACATACGATTTTCCACACACACAATTTCCATTGTTTCAACAAATTCTATGGCTTCCAATTTTAATTGTTAATACACACACACAGAACAAACATTGTTGTTTGCAATTTTAATTCTCGGTTCGGATATTTAGTAATTTTCCAAATGCAAAACGAGTTAAAGAGGTGAAAAATATTTAGAAACGAAACGGAATCCAATTTCGAATGCATACAATGCCCATACAAATGACTAGATGGTTATCCCAAACAGTGCGTTTCGGCAGTGCAGTGAATCGAAATTCATGGAAACGGAAAAACTTGGGTGCTATTTATTTGTAATGACTGTACCATCAAGTGGCCCATGCGACACCAAGCCGAAGCCTGTTACGCGCGGAACCCAGGCAACCGACCGAGGGGCGCTGCCGCATGACGCGAGACCATGCAGGAAAGATCGGTGTTAGACTAAAATTCGAGGAAAATTATAACTAAACACAACTCAAAGAGCTAAACATGCAAAGATAGCTAAGAAATTATACTTATTACGGGAAAGGTATGATTTAATAAGAGGAAGGGAATTAGTGGTGGATATTATATGGTAGAGGTTATTGAAGTTCGAGCATTTATGAAGAGATTTCGTCTACAACAAAATACAAATAAAAACAACCTCCCAGACATTCAACGATTCGCCCCACAGAAATTCTTTCAACTCTTTTTCTTCTACGATTTGCATTGCTGAAACGCACTGTGCAATAACAAATATCACATAATTTTGTTAAGTATAATTTATGGCGATTTTCACAACAATTGCCGTAGTTTAGCATTAAATGAAATTAAACGAAAGAGAAGGCACAACAATGCGTAAAAGAGGTTGATAGAGGGGGGAAAGAGTGGTTGGTGGGGAGAGAGAGAGTGGGGGGAGAGAGAGAGCAGCAGCACTGGTAGCTAAATTGCATTTACAGCAAAGGGCCTGCAAAAATAATTGTATGGCAACATTGCAGCCGCTGCAGCGGCGATAAGTTGCAAACGAAGAGCAGAGCCCCCTGCTTGCCACATGATAGGGTGGGGGTGGGGCAGCAACAGCGGCAGCAACTAATTTAAATTGAAATTAAAATTGATTGTTTTTTAAACGCGTCGCACAGTCAACGAGGCACGTAGGCTGGCCAAGAGAGACCAGGGCATGGTGGGCCAAGTGGGTGACGTGCGTGCCAGACCAAAGTGGCGGCATCGGGCCATGGCTATGGGGTCTGCCACGTCATTTGCAACAATGGGTGGCTGGCAGCCGAAGTGGGG